TTGCATTATGTCAACAGCCTGAACGAGCAAGGAAGTCAGTTCTCCCCCACCCCAGCTCCAGATGAGCACTCAGCTGGCCAACACTTTGGTTTTGTCTTGCAAGAGTGATTGTGTAGGACCCCAGTCTGGTCACATGGACTCCAGACGCACTGCTGTGAGACACTAAGGAGTACGGTTTAGAACTCAGTTACAGCAATCCGTTATGCAGGTTACAAAACTAATAGAATCAGTTTCGCATCACGGTGCAGCTGGCTGCCATCGTGATGGGTGTTCCTAGATGCTGGTCTTTTCCTCATAAAATTCTTAAAACAGCTACTTCTCCTCCCACGCCTCAGGATGACGTCACACCCTGGATGCCTCCAAGTCTGGCTTATTCCCTACGCCACACTCTCTACTTTTTCCTCCTCCTTTCAAAGGTTAAAGCCGAGGGGATTCTTGGCTATTGCAGAGGCCAAGTCTGGCCTGGCTAGAGTCACACAGCTCTTTTCTTCTTCTGCGTGTGCAAGGGGGTGTGTGGGGGAATGGAAGAGGGTGGCTGCTGTTCTCCATGGACTCTGTGTGGCCTCGGCATCCTGCTCGTGTACACAGAAGATGCCAGAATATATCCCAAGGATCAAAAGTCCAGAAGCAGAAGCATTCTCAATTTTCTGGGCAACCAGTCTTAACATGATGTGAACTGAGATGGTCCTAGAGTTCCTTCACCTGACCAGAAGCCAGTGGCAAAGAACTCTGGGAATAAAGAATGTGTGAGGGATAATTCCTTGGACACAGGGTCTCTTGGTCTGCCCCTGAGAGACCGGAGATCACCTCAAAGGGCTTTTGACTGATCCTGTGCACACCAGTAGGGGAGTCTGTGATTGCTGTATATACATGGGGATATGTCCACCTGGCTGCCTGGAGGTTGGGTTCTCACCCACCCTCTCTGTCCCCTCCCTCCTCTTTTTCCTGAGGAAAAGCTAACAGGTTTTGCTGGGGGACAGGGTACCCTAGCATGGAGTGCCAGCCCCTGAAGGGCTTCCCCTTCTTTGTCTTCAAACATGCTGAGCCCTGCTTCCTGCCTTGGCTGATGAGAACCATTCGTTTCTGGAACCAATCAGTTACTTCTGGCTTTATGAGCTCATGTCTTTTCTTGCTGGGAACTCTCCAATCAGCCTCTTAACTTCTTGTTCTTGGAACAGAGTCCCATCCATCTGGGAGCCTTGCTCTTTCAGCTGGGTAGTCTTGGGCTTCTTTCTGTGGATGCTGGGTCCCAGGTAGCAGTTCTGAGGGACTAAGAAGGGGCTGAGAAGCTGGGGAAGGGGTCTCTAGAAAGGAGGTTTGAGGGCCTGTCTATGGCAACCCCTTATTCTTCCCCCTCCTATCCATGGGAAAACCATTTGCTTGTGACCCTCTGAACCTTCTGGATTTTTCGCTCCTACTGTAGGTTTGGGAATAAGTTTATATGTTTGTGGTTTCTCTTATATTCAAGAAATCTGCCTAGACCCACAGAGTTTCTTCTGCCCCAGGACTGGGTATTCCCTTCAACTGAAAATGCAATGGTACCCGAGGCGGTATCTCCAAGTACGACCGCGCAAGGGTTAAGATGAGCTTTGTATGATCACAGGCATTCCAAGTGTGACCCTTCCTGATTCCCGACTTCACTCCAGCCAGAAACATGACTCTGCGAGGCTGTGGAGTGCAAGGAGGGAGGCAGAGAGGCTCTGGCTCCCGGCATAGGACGGGGATGGAGGTGGGGCTGAGGGATCTGGCCCACCAGGAAGTGTGTGTAATCCTAACAGGCCTGGCTTCTCAAACACCACCTCACAGGGACAGCGGGAGGTTGAGGGACAGAGGGTGTTGTGTATCTGGGAGTTGGACAAACGGTCTGCTTCACATTTTTCTGCCTCCCAGGACCCAGCCTGGGGCCCAATGGTTGTAGGAGTTGTTTCAGAGACACCCTCCCACTCGCGTGAGCCATTTCTGGCCAGCCCTGATTCATGCCCGTCTGAGCACTTCCCTGAATGAACCCATCGTGGGTTTGAGCTTCCCTCTGACTTTCAACCTGTTCCAGAGAGAGGTTTGTTAAGGCTGGGCCAGCTCTATTGCCTCCTCCCAGACTCCAGGTCTCTCTCAAAAGAGAAAGCCTCCATTTCCTCGGCTGTGGCAGCGGGGAAGTTCATGACTACCAGCTTCACTAGGCTGAGCTACATAACCCAGGTTTCCTTTTCCTGGGTGTTTCCTGTGAAGATGGGTCATGAATGGCTTCCCATAGGAGACGAGGGTGCTGAGGAGAGGAGGCAGCTCTTGCCTCAGTGATGGAGTGTTCAATCCTCTTCTCCTGGATCCTCCTCTGGCATCTCCTCCCCTGGGCCAGGGTGTGCATTCAGTTCTGTGACCAAGGATGTAGCTTCTGCAGGACACTCCTATAACACTCAGTTCAGAGGCTACAGGAACTGACGTGGGTGTTTGTCTGAAACAAAAACAAAGCTGCTTGGGACATAAATGCTTCAGATTTTAGTATTTTTCAGATTATGTAATGCTGTCATATTTATACATGTGAGAATATGTAGCTATTTCCAGGTGAAAGCCACAAGATTTCTACTTTGTTCTTGATCTTCCCAACTTTCTCTCCCCCCGCTGCCGTTCATGTGTCTGTGTGCATGTGTTGACATCAAGTGGTATTCCTCAATTGCTTCTTCACTGTTATTAGATATTTTTACAATGAATTCCCAGTTACATTTTTATTAGTGTATTATGCACGCAGACGTGCACACACGCATGCACAGGCACACACGTGTGTGTATGTGTGTGGTATGTGTGTATGTATGGTGTGGTGTGTGTGTATATGTGTGGTGTGTGTATATGTATGTGTGTGGTGTGTGTATGTGTGTGGTATGTGTGTATGTATGTGTATGGTGTATGCGTGTGGTGTGTCTGTGCACATGTGTGTATGTTGTATGCACATGTTGTGTGCTAGGACATGCACCATGTGTGTGTGCAGAGGCCCAAGGAGGACATTAGTTATCCTGCTCTCTCATTCCCACCTTACTCTCTTGAGACAGGGTGTGGTGGTTTGAATGAGAGCTAGAGACTCGGGTATTTGAACAGTTGGTGAAATGATTCAGGGAAACCATGGGCAGTGTAGATTTGCTGAAGGAAGTACAAGGTTCAGGCATTTGAACAGTTGGTAGAACTTCAGGGAGGGTATGGGCAGTACAAACTTGCTGAAGGAAGAACATTGCTGAGATGAGTTTGAGAATTTAATACCTTGCCCCACTTCCTCTTTGTTCTCTGCATCTGACGTGAGGTAAAAGATGAGATCTCTCAGCTTCTTGCTCTGCAACAATGCCTCCCTGCCACGGTAGACTCTCCTCCCTCTGGAACCATAAACCCAAATCCTTCTTCCTCGAGTTGCCTTTGCATGTGGTGTTTTATCACTCACGGTAAAGTCCCTGATGTGCAGGGTTTCCCACAGAACCTGAATGAGGCTGGTGGCCAGCAAGCCCATGAGCCTTCATTTTCCACGTCAACACAGTGCTAGAGTTCAGGTGTGTGTGTTCGTGTCTAGGTTTTAACACAGGTACTGATGGTTGAACTCAGAGATGGATGCTTTTCAGCAAGGATCCTTCCCCACTGAACTCAGCTCAACATGGTTTTTCTTAAGGGGACCTCGCTATATTGGGCTAGTTTTACACTCCCGGGTGCACGTTATCCTCTGAGGAGTGGAGACCGTACTCATCGGCCACAGCACCAGCCTTGAGCAAGCATCAGGACTGTGCAGAGGGCTTGCCTAGGTTTCTGGGTTCAGGTCGTCTCTGAGCTGGGACCACAGAATACAGGTCTGGCAAGTGGGGGCTGCGGCATGGCTTTCCCTGCAGGATCTTAGGGGAAGATCCTGGCTAGGAGGTGAAAAACCCACTGTGTTGGCCATCTAGGGCTGAGTTCAGGGCAGGTAGGCTGAAATGCAATCCTCACCCTCTGACCCTGCAGACAGTGTCCTGGAACAAGTGTCTTGCTGTATGTGACAGGAGCCTTGTGGGCTTTTCATAAGACCAATGTGTAGAAGCACTTGTCCTCACCCAGGGTCTCGGACTTCGATTTTTGTCATTGACAGCTTAGAAATGTACATCTGAGACCCCGTTTGGTGGGTTTTACTGGTTTTAAAATCATTTCTTGGCTGGGCGGTGATGGTACACACCTTTAATGCCAGCATTCGGGACACAGAGGCAGGTGGATCTCTGAGTTTGAGGTCAGCCTGATCTACAGAGTGAGTTCCAGGACAGGCTCCAAGGCTACACAGAGAAACCCTGTCTTGAAAAAAAAACAAAACAAAAACCCCCCAAAACAACAACAACAACAACAAAATCATTTCACCAGGCTAGGATGCTCCTGTGAATTGAGGTTGTCCTTTGGCACATTAGTGGTTCCTTGGTAGTTCCAGGCAGCCAGTGGCGACACTATACTGTGTTGCATGTTTTGGGGTACACATGAGATGAGGTTCAGGGCTGGTTTTTGATTCAGCACCTATGGAACTTTGACTTGGGAAGCTGCTTTCACAAGATCTAGGGAGCCTTGCACCCTGACTAGGAACAACAGGGGTTTTTTGTTGTTGTTGTTACGTGGTAGAAGAGAGAAAGTGCCCTATACTGGGCTCTGTCTGAGGCTCTGTTGCCTGCCTGAATGTTTAACTATATTCAAGTCTAACGCCCAAGAGACACATGGTCAAAAGGGACCAGCTCTTAGATGGGGTGTTTGTGCGGCTCTCCCCTCGTTAACTGTTCCCCATGAACTGATTTTCAAAAGGAGGAGCAACTTCAGAGCTAACTTCTTATAACATTTAATGTTTTTTGGGGGGCTGGGATAGAACGAGGCCACAGGGGGAAACAACTGAGGGTGTATCATCAGGAAACATGGGTCTTCAACAGCTGGGCCATGGGGACTGGACTACAAGCTCAGTAGAAATGTTTTCTCTTTCTCTTTTTTCTTGATGTCTCAGAACATTCTAGAAACACATTGCTTCCTTACACCCGGACTTGCTGCTGTTCCTTCCTCTTTACTTCTGTCCAGATGTCTGACAAGTCTTGTATAAACTGCTGGATCTAGCAAGACAAGGAGACAGCATTAACCTTGTCCAGCAGACACTCCCCATGTCCCAAGTTGGACCATCTCCTGTGAAGGAAGTTCATTGATCTCATTCTCCACTGCCAGAGGTGGCAGCATTGTCTGCTTTCCCAGATTTCTAGATGACCTTAAGAATCAGGCTTAGCAAACATATTCTCTCACTACACTCAAAATATGTGACGGAAACAACTTAAAGGCGTGTTATACTTTCCAAAGCTCGCACTCCACCGTAAGAGGCATGGCTGAACGGGTCAGTCCCTGGCGGGAGGAGCACGTGACAGTGGCTGTTCACATGGAGGGGACCAGGGAAGCAGAGAGCATGACTGGAGCAGGTGGATTAGCTGTCACCTTCAAAGGCCTGCACCCAGTAACCTACTTCTGCCAGGCAGGCTCTGCTGGCAAAGGTCTCACCCTCCCAAACTAGTGCCACAAGCACTTAGGATACAAGCCTGGGGGTGGGGCATTTCAGGTTCAAACCATAGCAGCAGGCTACAACCAGAGGAAGGCTGGACTTGGGACCTGCTTAGAGGTACAGACCCACGTGGAAGGAAGGAGGAAGATGGTCACAAACCGGCCTCGGGAAAACATTTTGCAGGTGGGACTGGAAATGGCTCTTAGGCAACGTCATAGTGCTCGAGGGGACCCGGACCTGATGTTCACCATGCTGATCTTGTGTCCGCCAGGGAAGTTTAAATTCTACTCACAGGCTTCTGTTTTGAAAGCCCCTGGTCAGGGTGACACGGCATAGATTCAGAGGCTAGGAAGACCCAGCTGGACTCCACACACAACAGCTCTGAAGAAATATCCGATTCCGGGGATGGAAGCCAGGGCCTCACCCATGCTGGGCACGTGTTGTAGCACTTAGCTGAGCGCCCGGCCCAGCTTCTCATTTTTGAAAGGTGACCCCAGCTCAAGGGCAGAATGTGTTCAACCTCTCCTTTCACTTACACTTTCTCATGCCATCACCATCATCATCGTCATTATTATCATCATCTTGGCTACTTGGCCAATTGGCTTTCTAGCAACTCGCTTATATTCTGTGGGAATGAAGATGGATATCTTCGGATATCCTTCGGGCAACGTGAGGTGTTCCTGGCAAGGAAAACCAAGCCCAGATTTTCCTTGCCAGGAGCACTTCTGGAAGTTTGGTTCAGAAAAATATAACTTGTGAAAATCCTCAAGGATTCAGAACGCTTAGAATTTGGAGGAGGTGGGTTAGAAGCTCGGGCCTAATCAGGGAGTGCATGGGCTGGGGCAGAGAGCGACAGGTCACCAATTCCCGGGGCATCCTTCCCCAGGACCGCTAAAGGAACGGAGCTGACCACATCAGGGAGTCTCAGAAACCAGGCTGCCACAATGCCAAGATGGCATTTATGTCTCTGTTTTCGTATTCCCTCACAAGTACAAGTTGCCATTTACCATGGCAGAGTGTCCTTGCTGTCCTGTCAGAACAGAGTGAGCGACAGGAACAAACAGCACGGTCTGCCTATAACTGAGCTAGACATCAAAGGGATTTGCCAAAGTGTCCAACAATGCTACTCTCCTCACAAAAGGAGTCATTTGAAATTTTAATCAACCATGCGATTTCAAAGACTGGGGAGATGGCTCAGTTGGTGAAGGGCTTGGTATGCAAGCATGGAGATCCAAGTTCAGAGCCCCAGTCAGAGGTTTCCCTGGAAACCTAAGAGAATGAAAACCATTTCTGAACATAGAATGAAGTATGAAAGCAGCCAGCTTCCTAGGAAGGTGCCCAGCCTTGCACAAGTGGAGAAGGTAGCAGCCAGGCTCAACCTCACACAGCCTCCCTTGCACAACAGGGCATCCCCAACAATGACAACTCGGGCTCACCCGAGACCCTCCTGGAGCTGTTAGCATGTGTGGCCAACAAGATTGTTGTGGATAACTGGTGAGCTCAACAGTGGGTCCCTACTCTGGTCCTGTGCTTTGAAGTCAACAGGGATTTCGGGTGCTAATGCAGTGGTCTCAGCGTGTGGAACCCTGACACGTAGTACAGCTGGGGAATTCCTAAATACACACATTCATGAGGGCTCATCTTAGATTTACTGAGTTGGAGATTTAGGTGTGCCCAGCAATCCCCCCAGACCCACCAGCAGGTGGTCCTGACCCTGTGAACATTCGAGGATCACAACTCTGCGTGATTCTTTCCTTCACTCAAGCAATTCAGAACCTTCTTTGCCCCGCCCCTCTGCTCGACCCAGCTCTGCATCCTCCTCCTACCATGTCCAGTTGTTTATGTGTGTCCTCCAGGGACACCTGCGTGGTCTCCTTCAGCTGCTTGCTCACGATCTGGAAGAGGTTCAGTGTCGCCATCTTAATGGTGCCAAGCAGGAGGGTCTTCTTGGCCGCTGTGTTCTGGATGTGTGCCCAGCGAGATTCCTGGGGAGAGAGATGGCAGCCTGTAAGTATAGCGCAGTAGAGAGAGACTCCTCTGTGTGTGTTTGTGTTTGTGTGTGTTTGTGTGTGCATATGTGTGTGCGGTAACTGTATGCATGTGTGCACACATACAGACCTCACGTACCCAGAGCCAGGACTCCCTCCCCCTAGCCTACACCGGACCTGCTGCTTACCCAGAAGATGACGTCACTGCGGGCCCTGTCGAAGCGCATCTGCAGTCTTGCCAGCTCATTGTTGTGCTGGAGGATCTCATCGTCCTTCTCCTCCATGTAGCGGGCCAGCCTTGCCTTGGCGCGTTCAATCTTCTCCTGCCCTTCTTGTGCCGACTGCATGAGGTCATGATGCATGCTCACCAGTGTCTTGTAACGGGCAATCACCTCGTGGATCTCTTCAAACTGAGGGGCCAATGGCCTTGGGTCACTGAATAGCTGGCTCCCAAGGGCCTGATGCAGCTACATCAGCCCACTGCCTCTGACCCGTACACCAGGGCAGGCAAACCATAGCCATAAACGGCTACTGTGAGAATGTTGGGTTCTCCTGAGTTTATATGGGCTATGCACCATATGTTGGAGGGTTGCTCAATGGGATCTGAGGTTCCTAATGCCAGCTGCATATTTAAATACCTAGGAATCCTTTAAAAGGTGGATGCCAAGTTCCAACCCCAGAGATTCTGATAAACAGTATGTCTTTGGTAGATTTGAATTTTCCAAACTATCTCTAGGTAATTCCAGGCCCAACTAGGCTTGAGACTTTATCTCCTAAGGCAACAATGATCCTATTCAAGGAGAATGTTCCACTCACAGACCAGGAGCTGCACTAAAAAGCTACTGACAGAGCCGGAGATAAGAAAGCCAGACCCTGTTCTTTTGAACTTTATAGCCTCAAGGGTGATTGGGTATGGGGAGGACAGACAGACCCTAGTCAACTACAACACAGTGATAAACTGACTTTGGGGCGGAGGTGTGAGGCTGCCCAGAGGCTGGCACTAACTCCCTACAGACTGCTCCTTAGCCTTTGTTCATCATCTGCATCAGTGGGTCAGGGGTTTGCAAGATGCACATCACCTGCTCCAACGGGGTCCAGAAGCACAGAGCTTGTCCAGCAAGCATCTCTACAGAGGGCAAGGTGGCCTCCAGTTCAATGACACCAACACGCCTCCCCGGAGGCTCTCCTAGTGTGCCTGCTCAGGGACTCTCTGAGCTGGTCTGTCTCGTGACAGTTGTCGGTGGCAGATTGGTGTCCAAGAACTGTCAGACTGGTGTTTTTTCTCAAACGTGCTTCTGGGGGAAGAGCATTCCAGGCAGTGCTGGAGGAGGCAGGAAGAGCCAGAAAAGTATTCGGGGGAGAGAGTGAGGCTGAAGGAGACTGGGATACATGTAGAGATAGCCAGGCAAAGACAGGTGGGGATGCAAGGTGTGCACCAGGGAGAGATGAGTGGAGGCTTAGGGAGGTTCAGAATACTCGCAGAAATTTAACATGGATGGCCTGAGGTTCAGAGATGGAGAGAAGGAGATGGATCTGGGAGAGAGAGGGAGGAGGAGGGAAGGAGAGTGGTAGGCGAGCCTGCCCAACAGCTTCTTGGAAGGCTGAGACCAGAGAATTGCAAGTTCAAGGCCTGCCTGGGCTATATAGTGAATCTGAGGCCAGTCTGGACAACTTAATGAAACCCTGTGTCAAACTAAAACAAGGGCTGGGGTGTAGCTTAGGGTAGAGTTGCTTACCTGCACATACAAGGGCCAGGGTTCAACTAATAACACACGTGATTACATGTATGTGCCCACACACACACAGAAAGAGACAGACTGCCCTGGAATATTCTTGTACACTGTGTAAATTATGCTCTGATTGGTTTAATAAAGAAGCTGACTGATCAATATCCAGGCAGGATAAGGTTAGGTGGAAAAAATAAACTAGCCAAGGAAAAGAAGAAGGGCAGAGTCCAGGAGATGTGAGCCAGCCTCTGGGAAAGAAGGGCAGAGTCAAGGAGATGTGAGCCAGCCTCTGGGAAAGAAGAAGGGCAGAGTCAAGGAGATGTGAGCCAGCCAAGGAAAAGAAGAAGGGCAGAGTCCAGGAGATGTGAGCCAGCCTCTGGGAAAGCAAAATGCTAGAGGACGGTAACGTCCTGAGCCATGTGGTAATACACAGATAAATAAAAATGGGATAATTTAAACATAAGAGCTAGTTAATAATAAGCCTGAACCATCGGCCAAGCATTTGTTATTAATAAAAGCCTAGGAGTGGTTTATTTGGGAACTGGTGGGCTGGGAGAGAGATCCGTTTACAACAGAGCACTCAGAAAACTACGAAAAGAGTATGAACTTTATCCATGAAGAATTTTAGTTTTAAGAAGCAGAGAACCCATGCCGCCCTGTCTGTATTTCCTTCAGATCTTTCAGCAAGCACCACAAGCACTAACATGAAAGTTAGAATGAATAGATTCAATCAGAGCTACTGAGAAGAAATCTCACAATTGTATTCTGATGTCAAAAGCCTCAGGTGCCCGCCTAAAGAGGCTCCTGCTTGTACAAGGAGGTGATAATTTCAACATCAATAAGAATAAATACAAAAGATTGAAACGTGAATTAAAAACCATGAGTTCATAACTACACTGAGGGGTCAGTTTTGGAGACTGCTGCCATTTTAGTTATTCTAAACAATAAAAAGAATCAAGAGTTCAGTGTGGGCAAAGCAGCCCAAACACGTTGTAGACAGGAGAGAGAGAGAGAGAGAGAGAGAGAGAGAGAGAGAGAGATCTTGAATTTGATGCCAGCCTGGAGTAAGACAGTGAGGCATTGACTCAAAAAGAAGACTTCAACAAGTTTCTTCCTAAGACCCACTAGTAATCAAGGAGCCAAAGACATTACAAAGTACCTCTCTTTATGTCAGTCGTTCACGGCCCCTTCGTAGTCGAATGACCCTTTCACGGGGTCACATCAGATATCTTTCATATCAGATATTTATATTATAATTGATAACAGTAGCAAAACTACAACTATGAAGTAGCAACAAAATAATTTTATGGCTGGGCGTCACCAGAGCATGAGGAACAGTGTTAAGGGTCACAAGGTTAGGAAGATCGAGAACCACTGCTTTATATACTGTTCTGACGACTAAATTTTAAAATGATTTTATACCCCCTGAGTCAGTACCTGTCCACAGCCACGAAGGAAATCAATATTATAGTTTTTATCAGCAAAGAATAATTTTACCTGGTTTCAAGCCTATCACTAGAACCATAGATGGGTTGTCTTTTGAATCTGGTCTTATTTTGCTTAACATAATGCCCATAATACTTAGGAAATGTAAGAAGTGGTGTGGAAAAACTAGTTTGGACCTTGATTAAACAGATCAAGTGCAGCAGGACAATTCTAGATATGACAAAGTTGACGGGAAAGCCCATGAGGTCTTAGCCCCACATGAAGAACTACAGGCAACTAAAGAAATAGTCCTCCTCAGGGAAGAGCACACCAATTGATGATCCAATGCCAAATGGCCAGCTCTGAAAACATACATACAAGTAGCATTATATATACTGATATATATGTATATATGTATATATATACACACATATGTAATAATAAGTAATGAAATAGGTTATGAATTTGACAGTGAGTGGTCAAATTCTGTCTATGTAGTCCTTCTGTCTATGTGTTGCTTTTATTGGTTAATGAATAAAGAAACTTCTTTGGACTTATAGCAGGGCAAAACTTAGGTAGGCAAGGAAAGCTAGGCTGAATGCTGGGAGAAAGAAGGGTGGAGTCAGAGAGATGCCATGGAGCTGCCAGAGTCAGACATGACAAAACTTTGTTAGTAAGCCACTGCCATGTGGCGGATACACAGATTAATGGAGATGGGTTAAATTAATATGTAAGATTCTACCACAGTTAGAAGCTAGAGCTAATGGGCCAAGCAGTGGTTTAATTAATACAGTTTCTGTATGATTATTTCAGGGCTAAGCAGCCAGGAACTAACTAGCGGCCTCCTCCTACAAGCAAGCAAGGAGGGGAATATGGGAGAGTTGGGAAGAAGAAAATGGAAAAGGGAGACAATGCAATTACATTATAATCTCAAAAATAAATTAAAAAAGCAAAACAAATGTACATAGAGCCTTATTGTGTGACAACTGGGGACACTTTAAATGTCAGCTAGTTATACATTTGCTACTAAGGAATAGCATAACTGGTTTGACAATAGCACTGTAGTTATGATTTTTTGATGTATTTTTAAATTTTTATTTTCACTTTATGTGTGTTAGTGTTTTGCCTGCATGTATGCTGTTTGCATACCACATGCATGCAGTGTTCCAGGGGGCCAGAAGAGAGTCGAAGACCCCCTGGTTACAGACAGTTGTGAGCCACCCAATGGGAGCCGGGAATCTGACCCAGGTCCTCTGGAAGAGCAGCCAGTGTTTTAAACTGCTGACCCATCATCTCTTCAGCCCCTGTTCTGAGACAATCTCACTGTGTAGCCTTGGCTGTCCCAGAGTTTGCTATGTAGACCAGGTTAGACTCAAACTCCCAGAGATCTGCCTGCCTCTGCCTCCCTAGTGCTGGGATTAAAGGAATGCCCCGCAACACTTGGCTTTTAAGTGGATTATGTTTTTTTAAAGCTCCCATCTTTAGAGAAATGTGCTGAAAAATATTTACGACTGAAGAAATAGCATTTGCTGCAAAATGGTGGAGTGGGAAAATGTGGGTCGTACAAGCGACCTTTGCTGGACCTAGGTGATGAGCAATGGGTGTCCTCTAGAATATATGGCTCTACTCTTGTCTGTTTGAAATTTTCCACTAGCAAAAAGTTCCTGAAAGTCTCACTGACTGGTTATGGGCAGTTGGAAGAAAAAAAGAATTTTTAATATTCTATGGAGCATGGTAGGATAATTGTGATCGACAAAAATGAACTGTACATTTCAAAATAGTACAGAGGATCTGAATACCCCCAACAAAGGGGAAATCATAGATGTTTGAGGTGATGGATATGTCAGTTATCACAATACTATGAAGTACACACACATGCACGAGCACAAGCAGGCACGCACACACACACATATGCACATCTCAGTATATCCTATCAATGTGTACAATTGTCATGTGTCAACTAAAAATACTATTTTAAAAAATCACGTCGCTAGACAGATGACTCAGCAGTTAAAAGTATTAGCTGCTCTTACAGAGACCTGGCTTCGATTGCCAGCACCCACATGGTAACTCACAACCACCCTAACTCCAGTTCCAGTGGTCCAGTGTCCTCTCCTGACCTCAGAGGGCACCAGGAATGCATGTGGTGCACAAACATACGTGTAGGCCAAAACATTCATAGTCACAAAATAAATAAAAAATAAATCCCAAAACCAAGATTTTAAAAATGAAAGAAAAAATAAAATAAAATCATTGATTGAGAAAAAGCCAGTTTGGACAGTGTGGTGCACACCTTTAATCCCAGCACTTGGGAGGCAGAGGCAGGTGGATCTCAGTGAGTTCGAGACCAGCCTGGTCTACAGAGTGAGCTCCGGTATAGCCTGGGCTACACAAAGAAACCCTGTCTCGAAAGCCAAGTCATAGGTTATGTTATACAATGTGTAGTTTAAGGACAGCTGATACTCACAAGTATAAACATTCATGAAATGGGAAATATAAAAACTATAATGCTGGTGACCCCTGAAGAGAGGAGAGAAAGATTGAAATTTGGAAGGGCATATAAGAGGTTTAAATTGCCAGTAGTGTTTTATTTCAGAAAAAAAAAAAGAAATGAGGGGAGAAATTAAGATTATACAAAGCTGTATGTTGAATTCTTGAAAGGTTAAGTTTTTTTCTATGTTTTCCAGTGTGGGGGTGGGAAGAGAAGAAGGAGAAGGGAGAGAGGAGGAGGAGGCTGTAGAATGCAGAGGAGCAAAGGGCAGAGGTGACACCAGATGAAGTGCGCAGCATGAGGAACGAGGAAGGGGCAGGGGTTGGATTCCAGAAATACTTAGGAGGCAGAGTAGGCCATATCTGATTGATGGCTACCGGATCAGGGAGGGGGTAAGCAGGAAGCGCAGTCCTGGCAGTACTATGGCAAGTCTGGGCCAGAGTCGGTCTGGCTAAAGGAAGAACCTGGGAAGAGGAGGCCCCAGAGGAGCCAGGGAGGGAGGCGGCAGAACAGAAGACAGGAGGAGATGTCAGAGAAGGGATGTCCACATCCAATGTTGTAAGAAGTGATGCCGGAAGAGGGATGAAAAGTTCCTCACCTGGGGTGACAGGGTCTGCAGAGGTGGGGGTGGGGCATTTATGACCCCGACTTGGGGCAGGGACACAGCAGAGTGGGGGAAATAATAAGCTATCCATTTCCAAGCTATGAGGCCCTGAGTAGGTCCCTTAACCTTCCCGAGCCTCCATCTCCCCAGAAAGAGACAGTCTGCTTGCTCTTCCCAGAGGCTGACAAGAGGACAGAAAGGTACAAATTCGCAGTCAGCCTGCATGACACCCTAAGCGCTCCAGGTCTTTGAAGGACAGGTAGGTGTTTTTCCACTTTTTCTCTCCTCTCCTCTGTCTGCCTGCCTGCCTGTCTGTCTCTGTGTCTATCTCTCTGTCTCTCACACATACTGACTCGGACATGCACCAATACTCAATTCATGTATAGCCATGCACAGATAATACCATCAGGCCCTCCCACCCACTGAGAACTGCACCCAACCTCATCAGAGGCCTTGGTCATCTGTCCCCCAGGGTTGCTGCCTCTCCCTAGAGCAGGACAAACATTCCAAGGGCCCCTAAACTCTAGCCAGCTGGAGCTGAGCTCCATTCTGTTATCTTGGGGGAAGAAGAGGGTGCTGAGGAGGGCCCTGTGGTACGGACGGCACTGCCAGCCCTGGGACCCACCTCCGAGTTCTCCACCACCTTCTCCAGGTACTTGTTGAAGATGGCATAGTCCTGCAGCTTGACACTCAGCCTCTGGTGCTCCAGCTTCAGGGCGGCCATATCCTGCTTGGCCTTGGCCAGCTCCCTCAGGCGCTGCCTTTTCAGTTCCCGCTCTTTGTTGGCTTTTTTCAGGGCTCGAATCCGTTTCTGGTCATTCTCCTGGGATGAGGGAGACAGTGGTAAATCAAACAAGTATCTCACCCTCTCTCCCTGAGACCCTGGCCTACCTGGGGCCGGTGACACCCTAAGCCCCTTCCATCTGCTGAGCTCAGATCACCAGAAGGGCAGGCAGAGCTTGCTGGGCTACCTATGTTGGAGGGGAGGTGTGAAGAAAAAGGATTTGGTGAGGCTTTGGTTGTTTGAAAGGATTTAGTAAAGTTAAGGGGCTTCCATGGCCTAAGGAGGCTTTGAGTACAGAAATTCAGCTCAAGGTCAAAAGGGAGTCTTGTGGGGGAGGGAGGGTGCAAGCAGGAATTTCAGGTTCTGTGGGAGCTGGTCCCTGGACTTCAAAGAGTGGGGGATGGGAAGAGAACACATAAAAAGAAGGGTAGAGAAAGGTCTCTCTTGCATCCAAGAAGGCCAAGAAAGGCTGGGTGGAAGAACAAGCCTCTGACAAAGCTTTTGTGGTTCTGCTTTTAGAGTTGGCCATTTGTCATGGGGCAGTGGCTCAGCCAGGGCTGGAAAGCCCACAGGTTCCCCTGATTTGGTGAAAGTGCCTCCATTTCTCCAGCTGTCGTCTGTGAAGTGGTATCTCCTCTCTTCCTTACAAAGCCCAAGGCAGTAATAATGGAACTAAATGCATGTGGAGGAGACAGCTCAGACGGGCGTGGCCACGGGCTGGAGGAGATGCCACAGGCAGTTCTAGGCCCAGAGAGGACGAGGCTCAGCTACTGCCGTCTCTGATGCTCTTCTCCCATCTGCAGTATCCTCCCTCAGGACAAGAGCAAGCTGTCTCCTTTCACTTTCCCAGGTGTTGCTAGGTGTCTCCTTCTCCTCCTGTGGCCACTGTGAGTCTATATGGACGGGCACATATGGTGATGACATGGAGAGGGCATGGAGAAGTGCCAGGAAGCAGGGCACCAGATGAGTGCCACGAGCATCAGAGAGGTCCGAGGGACCCTCAGTCAGTCATATATGAATTACCTAGAAAGTTTAAAAATGCATAGGTGTCTGGGCTCAACCTGAGACCTGCCTGAGGCAGAAGTTACTGATGTCTGTATTTGCTGCAAGTTCTATGAGATTCTGTAGCAGCCGACTGCCTGGAAGCCATTTAGAGAGTCCTTAATCCTCAAACTTCCTGTCCTCCCAAATACTCCATCAACTTCGCTCTGGCCCAGGTGGGCTACATCTCAGAAGAAAGTGTCCCATCGCATTGTCTTCCCTGTTCCGCACAGTTGTGTGTACAGTGGAAAGAAGAGCAGGGTTCCTCCAGTAGACGGCAGCAATGGGCCCCCCTCCTGCAGGGCCCAGCCCCTCAGGGCTTCTCTAGTGCTGGTCCAGGATGAGGATTGCTGGCCAGTACGTAGGTCTGGGGAGGTTTTCGTTTTGTTTACGTTTGTATTTAGTTTTGTGTGTGCACATGTATGAGTAGGTACATGCTACAGTGCGTGTCTAGAGGTCAGAGGACAATTTATGGGAGTTGATTCTTCTCTCTTTCCAACACGTGGGTCCTAGGGCTCTAGCTCAAGCTTTTAGGCTTGGGGGCAAGTGCTTTTAGCCACCGAGACACCTTGCCAGCCCAAATCAGGATTTTAGCACCACTAGGCTCACTCTTCCGGGTACTGATTAATGGTGAGTGCTGTCCGGGACTATCCTCTGAGCCAAACTGCGGCCATCTTTTGCGCCAAGTCATAAAAGATCATCACAACTGGTCTTGCTGACTGTTGGTGCTCCCTCACTGAAAGGGGATGGAGGTCATGGGACCCTGAGTATCCAGCCACCTCCTCCAACCAGTTGTATGCAACCCTGCCTTAGGTGCATGTGGCCCTAGTGTCTCTGGGGGGGAGGACTAGGGGAGAGGCAATATCTCTGTAACCATGAGGAAGCCATCACTCATGCCGGGTACAGATCTTCCAGTTCTGCTTTAGGGTCATCCACGCTCCTGCTTATAACCACCCACTCATGTTCTGTAAGTAACCCTAATAAATGCATTGGCTCCCCAGGGTCATTGAGACTTTAGACATTAGAGGGCGAACACTGCCTAACCCCCTAACCCGGGGCAGACATTCCTGAAACAGGGAGTTTCTTACTAGGTTCTTTGCTTCACGGACCTTCAACAGTTTCCTGCCTTCATCAATCCCCCATTTCAGTGCCAGGACAAAGACAGAGAGAGCGTGAGTGGGTGAGTGGGTCAAAACCCTCTGACTTCCTTCCGTATCCACACATACTGCTCTCTGGTAGGCGCACACCCATCTGTCCATCACACTTACCGATCCATCCATCCACCCGTCTACTTGATAAACTGTCTCAGGTACGGGCAAGGAAATAGCATAGAACCAACTAGAGATCAGAGACTGGCAGGTAGCTAGGACATTATAGACAGCATGGTGTATAGAAGATGCCTCGGATAGGGACCAGACGCTGCTGGAACACAGAAGAGGCCTTTAACCCGGGGCGAGGAGCCTACAGAATCAAGTACCGGGGAGGAACAGTTTGCCCCGCGATGAGTGTAAATCCTCCAACCTGCTGCAGCCCACACCGCTCCATACCTGGATGAATTGCTCAAACTTCTGGATATGGGCTTTCAACTGCTCCTCTTTGATGCCTAATTCCTCCCAGCGCAGGTTCAGTGTTTCCATTCTTCGCTGGAATGTCTTTAGGGGACGAGAGAAGGTAGATGTCAGGGAGCCCTCTGCCACGGGTGCTCAGAAAGATTCTGAGTGTTTTATCCCAGAAGTGAGTGTCTGGAAAGGCTGAGGAAGTTGCTCACCTGCTTCTTGTGTTCCATGGCCTGGTGCATGATCTTGGCTTCTTTCTTCTTCTCCAGGAGCCGGATGGATGGAGAGTCCGATTGCTCCTCAACATTTGGAAACTTCCTGCCCAAGAAGTGTGAGACAGGGGCCTTCTGAGGCTGGTGCAGGCTGGGCAAGGGAGTAACTCGGGGAGACAGAAGCCCATGGAAAGGAAAAAGGGTCTCTGCTCTCACTTTTTGGAGCGAGCGAGGGATGGGTACCCAGTCAAGGCGGAGCTGGATAATGGGGTTAGGCGATTGGGGGAATATTAGGCTGTGGGCAGTGGGGGGCCCATTGTTGGGTATGGGTGGTCCCAAGCACTCACTGTAGCAATTGAAGCAGCCGCTCCCCATACTGCAGCCGGAAGTATTCCGCCAGGTCCTCTTCTTCCATGATGCCTAAACTCATGGTGGCAGCTACCTAACAGCCTAGCTGTCCTTCTTTTCAGAGTGAATCGATGAGTGGCGGAGCCACGGAGCACTCAGGAGTGGTGGCTGGGTTCTTGCCCACCTCTCTTCCTGCTTTCAAAGTCCCACAGAGAGTGGATATCTGAGAAGCCAGTCAGAGGCTGCCTTAGTATGATGCGCGCTTGTGGTGATAGATCTGGTTACCTAGCAACAAACCGCTGGGTTCTGCGGACTGTATCTGGAACTCACGGTTTGCCCTCCGACCTTTGTCTCCACTAACCCCACTCCCTTGCTGAGGTTACCGCTCTGTTCCCGCTGGCACCCTTCAGGAACTCTGGGAAGAAGTTAGGCCTGGTTATATTTCTGGTTGCTCCCTTGTCAGGCAGGGAGGCAGGGTTTGGCCATCCACCGCCGAGAAGGGAAGTTTGTTTGGAGAGACCTGTGTGTGAAGTTGGTTCCTGTGGCTTCCTTCCTACGTTTAGGGATATGTGAGGGTGAAGGAGAGACTGGGCGGTAGATGAGTGGCAAAGAAGAAAAGCGGTAGAGAGGACGAGGTACTTAGCCAACCCCAGAGAGGGAGAATGGGAGATGGGCAGAGAAGAGTGGAAAGAAAGTTGAGACACATTAGAACCAAGTACGGCCTCGCGGAAAAGGGCCTGGCAAGGCCCCTTTAACGCGAGAGTGAGTTTATTAAGTACAGACAAAATGCACTTTCGAGATTTAAGTGCAGCCGGTGGGTGGGTGGAGGGCGCCATAATACAGTAACAGAAAGGTTCCCTTGTTTAATCGGTTTATTTCATGATGGTTGCCTTCCTCCATTCCATGGGGCACATGCATGTAAATACTTACCTGACCTGAGGTTAAATCTGTGTAAGTTTGGGGGCCCTATGTGAGACAGCACCATGGGGACCTCTGCAGAGACCTCTCCTTACACTAGACCCTGGTGCTCACCCCTCCCTGCTCCTCCTCTCAGCCTGCCAAGCCTCTTGCTTCTCTCTGGATCTCCGTAGGGATTGGCTGGGATGGGATTGCTCTCGCCATTGGCAAGGACAGAACTGTGAGCCCTGTGGTGGATCAGCTGCGAGCTATTCTCTAAGTCCCCGTAAGGAATAGTGGTTGGGTATACTGCCCACTCCTGTCCTATCCGGTTCCACCCTCTGTTGTTCCTCAAGGCAACAGAAAAAACCCCACCCACTCAGACTCACCCACCCATCCTCCCTAATCACTCCCACACCCCCTAAATCCCTAATCCCAAATCTCAGATAGGCCCAGCAGGATGACAGACAAATAAATGTTTCTAAATTTCGCAAAGGGGTGTGTGTGTGTCTTCTTTATCCAGACTGTCAGACAGTCCATTAGGGATTTCTCTCTTTCCTCCCCTTTTCTCCCCAGGTGGTGGCTTGGTTTGGGGGGGGGGGGGCTGTGATGATGCCAACCCTTGAGGAAGTTGGGTGCTTCTGGAATCATCTGTTACTCTGGAAGGTAAGGCACATGTACTTGTCTGTCAAATCAGGCCGGCCGGGGTCAGGTTGGTCAGTACAAGAACTGAGGTGTGCTCTCCTTCCCACGCAGCCCCTGGGTCTCAAGGCTCTTTGTGTTGTTTCACATGGTACCCTGCATGAGTCAATCTTGAATCCAGGCACCGACCATGATCCTGGAAGGCAGCAAGTTACGGCCTTCCCAGGCATTAGCGAGCAAGGCTTGTACTCTCAGCTCTCCTCTGCTTCCCTGAATTATACTTTCTTTCCAAAACCTCTCTCCACCCCCATTTTTTACTTGCCCACCCCCTCCCAGTCTCCCCCATATCTCCACCCACTGCCCTTTTTTGTCTTGCTATTCGTCTCTGAGGCAAAATCTATCAAGTTTGTTTGATTATCTAATGGGCTTAGATGCTGGAACCCAATAGGGATATTTTGCTTTCTGTCTTGTTCCATTATCCTCTGAAACTGTTAATCTGGGGTACCTAGCCTAGGGGTGCAGGGGTTGCCTAACACACACCAGAATCTGGATTTGACTCCCAGGACTAAATGGAAAAGGGGAGGAAGAATAGCAGAAAATAAAAAGACATAGGTTAGCATCTTGAAAATGTTATCCTGAGATGGTGCTGGGTGCACATTCTCCCAGCTATCTTGGAGGATGCTCTTCCAGGCAGTGGCCAGGGCCCAAACCCCTTCCATCTGTGGCTCCACTGGATTCTCCTGGGTTGGGCAGATCACTGCTGGAGAGAAAGAGAATACACACAGACGTTCCTTCCGCTCTTGAGTGCATCGCTGCCTCCTCCCCTTCACTTCTGACGATGCCCTACACTGCAAGAGGCCAGGCACTATGTTGCTGTGTTTCCAAGAAAAAGAAATTACTTGAAAAGCATCCAAACAGCCTGTGCTGTCCTCTTTTTGAGAACTGAAAAGGATGTTTGGGGTAAGCAGAGCTTAAGAAAGAGCCCAATAGTAGACAAAGAAAGAAAATAGGCCAACATATCTCATATGCAAAACCTTAGCGGCAACATTAGCAAATTTAATTTAGTTCACACAGTCTCCTGCCTCTCCTGGGAGAGTTTTTTCCACACAGTGGTCAGATTTCTAAGCCCCAGCTGGAGTGCTGCTCTCAAAATACATTTACTGGGACCTGCATGCAAGATCCCTGAATATTAGGAAATCTATTAATAAAATTAAGTCTATTGAAATTCTCAAGAGAATTGCTATTGTGGTAAATGTCAATGTGGCACTGAAAAATGTGCACATTTATCTTTTTAAGAGATACTAGGGATTTGCTGGGTCTGGCGGAGCACATCTTTATCCCCCGCACCGTGTAGCAGTGGCAGGAAGATGTTTGTGAGTTCCAGGTCAGCTGGTGCTACATAGAAAGACACCTCCCGTGTGTGTGTGTGTGCATACATATGTTTCAAAAGTATTTTATTACACGTGTAAAAGAATCTGAACCCAAGAGATAACATTAGCATCGTGTCAAAGATATTCTTGCTAAACTTAGGGGTGCGACAGGCTTTCTGCTGTCACTACAACCACTTAGCAATGTTTTGGGAGCTCTGGCTAGTGTGAAAAACGACAAGAAAATTAAGTTTTTCTTTTCTTCTTCTTTTTTTTTCACAATGGCAGATGCTGTGATCGTGTACTGTGAAAATTCAAGAGGATGGTTAATTTCAACGATTTGAATTTAATGTGATAGCAGGCAGTTTGCAGAGGGAACGAAGCTGATTTGTATGCATGGACACAAGAAGAGCCCTGGTGACAGAGTGAAGCGACAGAATCGAGCTGCAGAACAGCATGCCTAATAGGATGCAGTGCGTGCAAGTGTGTCTTGGGGACAGCAGGCTTCGGGAGGTTGTGACAAGAGCTCTGGAGACAGGAATGGCATGCGGTGGGGAAGTAAAAAATTTACTCTCCATATTGTTTGTTTATATTCTCTTATGTGTTTTTCCCCTTAAAAACCACACACACATGGTTTTTGAAACAGAGTTTCTCTGTGTAGCCTAGGTTGTCTTGGAACTTGGTCTGTAGACCAGGCTGGCCTTGAAGTCAGTGGTCTGCTTGCCGCTGCCTTCCAAGTGTTGGGATTAAAGGCGTGCACTGCCATGGGTAACTCTGTCATGTCCGAGGATTCTCCACACTGTTTGCCATGATGGCTGCATCATTTTACGTTCCCACAACTGGTGACAAGACAATTTCTTTGTGTCCTTGCCAGGACTTGGAGTCTCCGCTTTTCCCCCTTTATGTCCGTCACTCAGATGGGTATGAGGTGACATCTCATGGCCAAACTGGGTTCTTTTTTCTCATAATGGTAATAAGTGAACCTATTCAATTATCAGTTGTTTAAACAATGTAGATACAGTCAGAACTCTATCCAACACCCAGTCTTGTGTACCAGAGGTGACCATGAGTTCATCCAACACTTATGTCCAGTGCTGGAAAAGACCAACATTTGGTCTTTTTTCGTACAAGAGTACATAGCAGGGTTTCTTTTGGGTCACCAACCAGTTCCCAAATCATGACACAAGACTTCTTATTAGTTACGAATGCTCAGCCTCATCTTATGCTTGTCCCATGAGCTCTTATAACTTAACCTGTTTCTCTTCATCTGCGTTTTGCCTTGGGACTTTTTACCTTTTTTCCTTCTTCTACATATCTTACTTTCATTGTGCCTGGCCGGCTGGCAGCTGCCTGGCTGCTGGTCCCAGGAATGTCCCTCTCTTTCTGCCTCATTCTCTCCCCCCTTCTTTCTACTCTGCCTGGAGTTCTCCTCCTACTTATTCTCTCTGCCCCCTAGCCCCACCTATCCCTCTTCTGCCTAGCTATTAGCCATTCGGTTTTCTTTATTAGACCAATCGGGTGCCTTAGGCAGGCAAGGTGAAGCAGCAACACATCTTTTCATAATTAAACAAATGCAACATAAACAAATGTAACACACCTTTACACAGTTCAAGTGATTTCCATAACAAGAGGGCCTGATTTAGTCCGAAGAGTCTTGGTCTCCCCTGTTCTAATCAAAAGGAAGTTTCACGTAAGGAGTAGAAATTCATTCCAAGGAAATCAGAGGCATACTGAGTGAAGGCCGCCTTCTTTATATAGCAAACAACACAGAAAATATGGTATCAAAAATGTGGGGCTTCTTCATCAATCTTTCACAGAGTCTCACAGGGAAGAGATGTGTTTCTGGGCCTTATTGACTCAGAACAGCACACAAAGCCACGATCAGGTGTCATCTCTCTATGCTCACATGTTATTCAGAACATAGCTGGGGTGTGGGGCATTCTAGGTTGGGGGGATTTCCTTTCAATGCCTTCCTGATTTCAGCACATGGTTTTAGACCTGGTAACCACCTCTCACAAACACGCCCACTGTTCTGAGTCAGGAGCATGAACGGGCCACAAAGGAAGACTAGGGAACGTGGTCCAACTGAGGCTATGGAATCAGCTGGGCTTGTAGGAGGAAACTGTAGAAGTCCAGAATGTAGTAAGGAGGATTTCAATGTTTCCCATAGAAGGTGGTTAATTTGGGGGGCTGGAGAGATAGTTCAGCGGTTAAGAACACTTGTTGGTCTTCCAGACAATCAGAGTTCAATTCACAGCACCTAATTGG